GCCCTATAGATAAGCCAATTCCATTCAGGGTCAATAGAATATTGTACAACTGGTTAGTATTTGGCCTTTCTAATATTGAGGCGGGAACTGCTTACTAACTGTAACACAAAGACCGTGCTAATGGATTTTCACCTCACTTATTTCCCCCCATGTATGTGCTCACCTTGGCTAGGACACAACTACACAGAAATTCTGCAAGTACAAGAGAAGGGCACTCAAGCCATGAATGACACGGCTTCCCTGGCAATTCCATTTTGGAATTGCTAATTTCAGAAGTGATGATTTAGCTCATTGAGCCAGGCTGCAAGAGACCAGGAATTACCCAGTGGTGGGCACTTAGCTGAGACCAAGGCCCGCTTAATTAGGATTCTGGCACTGTAGGTGGGAATATTTACTATTGCTGTGAATAGTAAATCATAAATGTTAAATTACATTCAATCTCAGAAATAACTGTGCAAAACTTCTCACAGCATAGATAATCAGGCAATTATTGAGATGGTTATAGTTCTCGCAGGCCATTGCTGCTTTGCTATGAGACCCAATCATGCTCTGAGCTACAATCTCATTTATCCCAGCTCCATTTTTGTGTATTCTACTCCAGTAAGTAAGAATAAATGCTTAATCTAAGTTTTAGAGTTCTTTAAAAAAAGAACTTACAACATGTGGTCTATTGTTTAAGCTTTAAATTTAAAACTTACATATAGCTAGTTAAAACATTAAATTCATAAATCATTAAAAAGAAAAACAATGTGAGTAGTCGTCCTTGATCATGATATTGTAGAAAACCCCTGGACTGGAAGTTTGGAAATCTGGATCTTAGTCTTCTCTCTGCTTCTCATTTCCAATGTAATTTTTGGAAAGTAATTAAAATTTTCCTGGACCCCAATTTATGCATCTGTAATTCAAGAATTTTTTAACAATTTTAGCTAGGGTTCCATTCAACCTGCAAATAATAAAAATGATATACCCTACTGTAATTTTAAATATTAATTTATGACAGCACTTTACCAAATCTTTACATGAATTAGAAAGTACTATCTATCTATATTTCATTGATATGAAAACTTAGAGAAGTCAAATGTCCTGACTAGGTCACATATGGAGGAAATGGCATAGAACTTTGCACCCATTTTGGTCTCAGGTCATTTTAATCAAATGATTGCTGTGATTGAGGTAAGATTAGTGGAAGTAACTTTCTCAGCTGGACACAGAGTTTGAAAGCAAGAGATTCAGTAGAACATTTATTTTTACTTTTACATCACCACAAATGAGTCTCACATATGTGAATTTCACTTGGATTTATGCACTAGATTATCTTTTTCCTGAATCTCTCAGCTCTCCTCTGTGGTAGGACAAAAAGAATTGAATACCAGTGATCATGGGAGCACACACTGCGGTTGCCTGGACAGTGAACCAATTGGGAAGTGCTCCCCCTTCTCCTAGTGCAGAGGCTGCACCCAAAGTCAGCTTCTTATAGAAGCCGTGGCTTCCTCCCTCTTTCTGGAGGGGATATGACTCAGACAATGCCTGTAAACAGTTGGCCTCTACACCGAGCCCACCTGGTGCTCAAAGAGTCTGATTTTCTTCCACCGACAAAATTGCTCTCATTCTTGCCCTATGGGCAAGAGCAAGTGGTTCCTTGGAACATACATCCTTGATGTATTCAGCACAATAGCCTGGTTCCAGCATCTCTCTCAGGATTCATGGGATTGGGGACCTGTACCTTCTCTTCTCTTGGTGACCCCTGACTTGTAAGTTTCTCTAATAAAGCCTATTCCATAACCCTGCCACGTGATGTTAAGGAACTCGACTTGAGGTCTGCTGCACCGCAGGCTGACAGCATGAAAGGGACCCACTTTCCACAGTCTGTTTTCATTTCTTCAGATTCATTTGGAATCATTAAGATTTGCAATGAGAATTACATCATTAAGAATTGCAAATAGCTATGCATCTCGTACTGTACAATTTACGGAATGTTTTTATACTCTATATTTTATTTAATTCTCACAAAAGCAGCCAATCAAGATTTATTTTTTATTGTCAGACAACAAATTGAAGTTTCAGATTGGTTAGAAGCCTCCCTTGAAAGTGGCAAATCTAAGCCATTTTTAAAGTATCCACATAGCAGGTCTTTGCCAGGTGCTGGGAAATTCAAAGACCAATAAGACATCTCCAAAAGCTTTCTTTCTTGTGCTAAATAGGGAGGATCATTTTAATAGCTATTTATTACCAACATATTCATTACACTTTTCAGTTTGCTCAAAATATAGTGCCTCTATTATGAGACATTAGACAAAATTTACAGAAGCGAAGAGGTGAGGCTGTCTCAGCTGCTACTCAGCCAGAAGGGAACAAGACAGAGCAGTGTCCAAGCCCCTGAGTAACTGTGAAGAATTATTCCAATCAAAAGCTTGCCAGAGGGTGTGTCTATGGCTGAGGCTGAATAGGTATGTGTGCAATAAGTCTTCTCATCTGTGATCTGAATTCAGGTATGTTCTTGGAAATGGTTTCAGATGCAAATCCATTTCTCTGAAATCTATATTTATTATCAGTAATCCCACTAATGGTGCCCTTCTAGGTTTAGAGATGTTGTTATGCTGGCACCTCAAATTGAATATTTTCAAAGCTGAGCTCATCATCTACTTACTCAGAGCTTTATTCTTTAGTCTGGTATATGGCCTTGCTTCCACTCCATTTCTAGTTGCCCAGTGGCGAGCCTACCTGGACTTCTGTCTTTCTTCTCGCATGGTCATAACTATCAAGTCCCGTAGAGATCACTTTGTGAATATCTCACATATTCCCCCTTTTCCACGGTCATGTCGTCATTCATGGGTCATTCAAAGCCCTCAATGACTTTCAAGGACTACTGCGACATCCTCTTCCTCACCACCCACCTCCTCCATCAAGCTGACCTCCACAGGGCCCATTGCCGATAAATCCAAACTCCTATCACCCGCTGAAAAGAATGAAAGCTACAATGTTATACTGCCTACATGCTTAGCCTTACTGTGGTTCCTACTTTCTTCTCCACATCACGTTCCAGATCTTCTGCACCGACGATGCTTATTCATGCTTCTCCTCTAAGACGATCTTATAAGGAAGAGTATGCCAGGCAAACTCTTACTTCTCTTTCAAACATTCCTCTCTCTATCAGGACTTTCCTAACTCCTCCCTCCACTCTCTCAGTTAGACTTACATTTTCTTCCACTGGTTTTGTTGTATCCTGTGCACGTCTTCAACAGAGCACTAATTGTATTACGTGGTCTATTTGTGTGTGGCTTTTTTCTCCACTTAGTTTTTGAGTTCCTTGAAGACAAAGAGCATGTTCTATTTGTCATTATATCCTTAGCACTTAGTATGATGATGTCTGACAAAAATGAATTTCACTTGAATTTATGCACTAGATTTTCCTTTCCCTAAATATCTTAACTCCCCTCTGTGGTTGGACAAAAAGAACAGAACGCTCCGGGTTGCCGGGATGATGAACCATCTGGGACGGTACTCTCACTTCTAGTCAGGGAGGCTATACCTAAAGTCAGCCTTGAGTCCACGTTGAACAGAGAAATGAATCTGAGAGAGTCTATGGAACTTGCTTAAGGAAGACAACTAATAAAAAGTGACAACAAGAACATAGTCAGGGCAGGGATTCTTGTTCTCGCCATTCACTGTTTTATCTCCAGTGCCTAGGTGATTCTCTGGCACATCAGAGTTCAACCAATATTTGTTGAGTAAATGGCTGACTGAATGACTGACTGACTGACTGAATGAACAAATGAAAAGTTAACTTCAAAGCTCATGTCCTTTTGATTCCATTCTCTTGACTTCCAATCTTTGTATAGTGTAAAAATGTGTGTGTAGATACATCTTTCAAACAAATGAAATAAAAAATTGAATATCATGATTTTCTCTTTACAATAAACCACAATTAAAGAGTTATGATATCTATTTACACATACACACAGAAATTCTAAGCCATTGAAATATATAGCCTTGGTAATTCATTTCATTTACTAAAATTAAAATGGCTTTTGGAAAATAGGTAGACATTCTATCTGGAAATCAAACAACTTTATATTCAGAATTAGTTTTTGGTTAACTGGTAGAATGAACTTGTCTTGTAAACTGTCTTCTGAGTAGTGTAAAGCAGAGGCTGACAGCAATAAACTGTGCTCGGTCCTGTGAGGAAATGCAGGGCTCTGCTCTCTGATGCTGTCCAGAGGCAGGAACGGAGCATCCCCACGATTCTGGAATCACAAGAAGCAGGCGCGGGATATGTGCTTCTGGGAAAAACCGTATTTAGGTTTATACCCCTCCACTTAAACTTCTGGGGCCTCTTTTTTCACACGGAATGACAGCTGATTTTATCTTTATCTGTTACTGACATAGACCCAGCCATTGACTGTGAAGGGACAAAAGCCAGCAGAGGGATGAAAGAAACCCAAAATAGATCTTCCTTGAACTGATTTGTGTCAGAGTTATAAACAGTTCAAGGCACGAAAGAAAAGCAGACCGGCCAGCACTGTTGCTGAAGACAGGAGCAAAGAACGATTTTCTCCTTTTCTTTTTTTCCCTCTCTCTTTTTTTCCCTTGTCCAGCTACTCAAAGCAAACATGGCAGGAGGTGGAAGCCCTCCGCTGGAGACTGTTGACTGTGGACGGCTCACCCGCCTGCACGCGGCTCCCCGCCTGGGGCCATCCCCTCTATTGTTACAAAGCACAGTTTATAATGCAAATCATGCCGGCTACATGGCTCATTATTTTCCTCTCTGAATAAAATATGAACACATCAATTATGTGTCTGTCTATTTCTAAATGCATACCCTTGTTGCACTGGCCTCTTTCTGCTTTATATTTTTCAGAACGTCCCTGACATTTGTCAAGTGGTTGAGTTCCAAACCTTTCTAAGCTATTATCTTATTATTTCGGCACTTTCCTGACTTTCTCCTCCATCGAATCAGTTTGACCTGGGAGGGCAAACTGGGCTCCGACAACCGCACTCACCACTGCTTGTAATCCGCATCACAGTTACAGTAGTACTTGGGGTCTGTGCAGTTCCGCTCGATGCCGCAGGCGCATTTCTGAATTCCGGGCCCGGAGCCGCCCCAGTAGTAGTGCTTCTCGTTGCCTTTGCCAACCCACCAGGTGTAAGGACTTCCATCTATGAGAAAGAGGAAAGGCACATTGAGATCGGACTAGGACTGAGTTGTTACAATGTCACACTTAAACCCACCTTCCCCGGGAGTAGTATTGCTCTCTGAGAGACCGAACATCACTTAACCCTCTTAAATGATTTCAATAATAGGAATATTTACTAAAAAACGTCAGAGGGATGGTAAGCTCAAGTTTTCCCACCAGGATATACACCTCTTTCCTTGGAAGAAACTTGTACAGGCAAGCTTCAGTAATTTAGGCGTCTGTTTCGTAAATTGGCTGCCCAGGTGGGGCAGTCCTCAATGAAGGCCTGGAGGCCATGCACTGACTCTGTAACGTGCCACTAAGGTCACGACTAGTCATGCTTGTCTGTGAAATGACAGTCAGGGTGATTATGGGATATTAGAGCTACACGTGGACTTTCATTACATCTTAGTATGATCTCTTTATTTAACAGGTAAGGAACTTAGGTCTAGAAAAGTGAAGCAATTCTTCCATTCCACAGCAGATCAGAAGTTTGACACTGTATCTCACAAGACACTGGAAAATGCTCTTTATACAATATTACTTTCCTTTATTATTTGGCCTAATATTCACTCATTTTTTCATTCATTCATCCAATCATCAAACATCCATTGAGTTTCCATTATGTGTCAAACATTCTAAGAAACCCGATAGAATAATGAAGGAAAAAGATACAGGTCGAGAATTCATTTTAATGAGTGTTAGGAACACACAGGAGGGTGGGTGAGGGAAAGGAGGTCACGAAGGAAGGTATCCTAGAAGAGGTAAAATATTTGAGCTGTGTCTTGAAGGTTGAGTGGCGTTACTCAGGTGAATAAGGATGGAAGAGAGCTAAGGGGTCCTAGGTAAAGGGAGCAGAATGGTAAAGTTCTATATGGAAAATATACATAGGAGTCTATGCATTTATGGTAGAATAGATGGTAGAATAGGGCTGAAGAGATACGTGTGAGAGGGTAGCAGGAGTAGGCAGTGACAGACAGTACTTGAGGGCCATGTCACAACAAAATCTTTGTCCAAATAAGAAGTTATTTTGCACTGGTTTATGTTTGCATTTCGGTGTTTATTTCCTTCTATTTGAGAAGTTTGAAAAGAATGGGAAACTACTAAAGGATTTCAAGCAGGGAATTATCATGATCAAATTTGTGTTTTGAAACATCTACAGTAAGGTGAAAGACAAATTTCTAGAGGATGGAGTCAGGGAGGCCAGATGTGTTGCTCCTATGTTAATACAGAGGAGAAATAATAAAATAGTAGTGGAAATGGAGAGGAAGAGAAAATAGAAAGAGATTTAGGAGGTATAAATGGCCTGAGACTATTGAGATTTTGGCTGAGAGAGAAGGTGGAAGAAGGTGTTGTGGATTAATCCGAGGTTTCTAGCTCAGGTGACTAAGAGGATGGTGATGTGCTTCACCAAGGAAGATAATAGGATAGGAAGATGAGAAGTTTAGAGGATGCTGAAGAAAGGATGATAAGCTTGATACATGAAATAGGCAGTTGGCTATAGAAGTCTGGATCTCAGCAGTATTTTCTGAGCTGAAAATCCCATTTCAGGAACCCTCAGGGTAAAACAGAAATATTGGTAGCAGGAGAGATGCCATTGGAATCTTTTAGATTACATTTAGAAAACAGAAGGAGAGGGAGATGGCCATAGTGGAGGTGAAGAAAGAAAGCAGTTGGAGAGGGTGGAGAAAAAACGAGAGAATTTCTAGAAAAGCAGTGTGGTCAGCATGGTGAGATTTCATAGTGAAGTCCATTGAGATGAGGATTTAAACTTTTCCTTTTATTTGACAGCTAGAAGGTCATGGAAGGCATTGTTAAGAGGAGTTTGAGGTGAATGGTGGGAAGAAGCAGCCAGGTAGCAGGAGGCAGAGGAGGGAATGGCCGGGAGAAGGAGGAGGCCCTGAGGACAGACGGCTCTTGCAGGAAGCCGGGGAATGAATGGACTCTCATGGAGGCAGTGCCGACCAGTAAACCAAGAAGCTAGTCAATTAAAATCTCCAGGCGTATGGCTAAAATTCCGTTATGATGGCCCACCCCCCTTTGAGAATGCTAAGTGTACACTAGTCCCAGTGTCTGTGTGAGGGCTCAGAAATAAAGATGAGGAAAAAGTCCTGTACTCAATTAGTTATCAGGTGAACAGTCACAACATCTAAGCAAATAATACAATAGAGTAAGTAAGGATCATACAGGAATTTTGTAAATTTGCTGCAGTACTTTTTCAGATATGCCAATAGTTTTGTTTCCTTTCTAAAAGTGGGCAATTTAAAGTCATGAAACTGTACTGGGAGGTTCAGGCTTGATGTAATGAATGAGCAAATGCTCTGAACTTGGAAGCGAGTTATTCGGTTATTCTCTTATTTCATACAAATTTCTAGATTTTCCAGTTGTGTTGACTTAATTTGGAAAAGTTACCATCTTTCCCTTCACAAGATCATTTATGACACCTGAATTTTTAAAAAATACATTTGACTTGATCTGGTAAACAGTAGAGAGGAAGATTTCACTACCCTGTTCTGAAGGGAGGAAGAAGCCAGCTCTCTGAGACAAGGGTCCACTCTGAAATCCTGTCTTCTGCCCATCTGAGCCTTGTCCCAGCTGTGTTTGCTCTCTACATTCAAGTTATTTTGCTTCTGCCTTCTCTTTCCATTAGGGTAAAGAGTAATGCAACCAACTTCTGATGCTTCCCAATGTTGGAAACTGGGCTAATAATAAACTCTTGTATTCTTTTGATGCAGTCAAATGTTTAAAAAAACAAGGCTTGAAAAATCTCACTTATGGAAACTGTAAAATCTGAGCCAGGTCATTTGGTCAGTAAGCTGCACTAAGTCTCTGCTGATTCCATCCCTGGCTGTGTTACAACCAGACGGCAAAGGTGGATGGTGCAATGCTGACCTTACAAAGGCCCTGGGGACCTTCCAGACCACAAACTGATCCTGAAAATGTAGAAACATGACCTTGATTGGTTATCACATCTATTTATCACGCCGCATCTTTTCAAGTTGACCTAATGCTAAATTATTTCTCTCAAAGGAAATTTTGGTTACTATCATTATTTTGGGAAACTAGGGGGTACTGCCACACCTGGTGGAGAGAAGGAAACAAATCAGACACCTGCAGAACTGAAGTTAATGGATTGTCTGGCACGACACTCCAGCCTGTACCTCAAATAGCCAATGAAAGTGTGTATATCTCAGAACCTCAGCTCAATTTCCAACTATTCCTTCTAGTGACCAGTAGAAACAACCTAACACTGTTATATTTTCATTATAGAAAGTGATGATAAATTGCATCAACCAGAGAAGCTGTGTGTGGCTTAGTATTCTTCATAAAAATAAAAACAATGTCAGTAAAAGGAGCAAGATAATCATCACCTCTTCTCTAGCACCAGACTGAGAAATGTGCTGTAGGGGAAATGGAGAAGAGAACAGCACCTTCAAGGTGTACAGAGAAGCCCAGGAGAGGAAGTCTCATTGTCAAGTTGTTTGAGCCGTAGGTGTTCCAGTAGGAGCCCTAAGCACGGGATCCGGGCTCTGACCTAACCTCACAGGGTAGACTCTCTGCTCTTTAGGGAGGGACTCTTCTTAGACACCAAGATGGGAGCCAAGCGGCTGATCAGCAGTGACATTTCGTCTATACCATGCAAGGAGGTGAAACACTAGTGACCAGGTAAGAGTAGCCCAATTTCCCAGTTCTTCTCTCACCCCCACCTTTTTCTCAAGACACATACTGTCTTATTTAGCTAATGTTCCCAGTTAGGGTGATGCAAAAGTCTATGTTATTTTGTTCTCCTTCCCAGGGAACTAAGTTAAGTGCAGTACAAAATGTTTTACTTAGCTGTTTCGACGTCTACCACGAACAGAAGAATGCCAATAAGAAAAACATATTCCAGGGAAAAAGCAAATTGTACTCTTTGTTATTAGCATTGGCTAATTTGGTTAAATCAAATCACTCTAAAATATATTATTAATTTGGCGTATATTTTATATTCAGCAGGAAAAGAATGGTTCAATTTGTGTTGAGCAAAGAATTGCCTTATTCCAGGGTTATTCTAATGAAGTGCTACTTTCTGCTTTACAAATCATTATTTACCTGTTAATTGGCTTTGGGGAAAAGCAGTTAAAGCGATAAAAATGGAAAAGACTTTTTAAAAGGCAAAAACAAGAAGTAGTGAGAAAAGAAATAACTTTATTACCCAGCACCAAGAGTTCAAGAGCTTCTCTAACTTCAGAATATGAAGATTTTTGTTAACTATATTAACTAGGTGTAATCACTATGACAAGATTTGGTAATGATGAACCATATTCTAAGTAAACTAGAAGCTAAATTATCAAAGTAAGGCATATTGTATTAAAACAGCCAGATACGGATTGAATTAAATATAGTCACTATACTGTTTATACTCACTTATAATCAAGTTTTCTTATGCTGAAAGGTTTACTATGCTTTGGATGATTAAACTTGGAAAGGAAGAAAGAAAAGAGGCTACTTGTTTCCCAAGACTTAAAGAAACCAATAGATCTCTATTATTTTCTCCAATAACAAGTTGTTTCAGAAACACAAGGGCAAATGCACGGGAACCTCCTGCTGAAAATGTGGTACATACCTGTAATTTTCAAAATGTGTTCTTTGGAACTTCTGGGCTATGCAAAGTAGTTTAATAGTCTGCTTAAGTAAATATTATCCTGGCACATATAAGACCCAGTATGGTTACTGGGACATTTAATTAGTTCCATTTTATCCACTTCTATAAGATATTAAAAACAAGACCACAAGGGTTTATAGTCTCCAAAATGAAAACTTAAAAGCATTTTTTTTTTAGTTTGATGAAACCTAGTTTTATTATATCTACTGCTATCTACTTATGTACAAACTCTGTTAAAGAATCACAAGGGGCATTTTAGCAGAGGAAATAGAACAGGTACAGTTGCTGCAGAAATCTGCCTTTCTGTGCTCTGCTGAGTGCCCCCTGCTGGCAGCTCCCTG